CTCCCCCCCCTCACAACCCCTCCTCTGACCTCCCCCCCCACCCCTTCCCCAGGAGACTGCGACCCACCTAACCCCCCCCTCCCCCGGACCCGCCACCTGTCACCTCCCCCTCCCCCCTCCATTTCCCCCCTCCCTCCACCCCCTTCCCCCCTTTCCCCCCCCTCCTCCACCCCTCGCCCCGTTCATTTTCCTCGGCAATGCAGAACATTCCTGCGGCCTCACGAGTGATAAAAATGTTTGGACATTGTATGTTATGTGCGTTAACATGATTGCTGAAATGTGTGTATATCCAGATAGGCATATACAGAGTAAGGCATATAAATATATGTATATAAATATACATATGTAGATACACACACACACACACACACACACACACACACACACACACACACACACACACACATATATATATATATATATATATATATATATATATATATAATATATATATATATACCTATACATACACATACATAGTCTATATACACTAATGTATACATACATGATGTAAATATACAATGCAAATCCATAATAAATAATAAATAACATGGAACATCCATTTCCATCCCACAACTCCAAGGAAAAAAAAGGTCATAAAAAAATGAAAATCAAACAGCGAACTCTTTCTCTTTACTCTTTATTCCTTTGTTCTTTATTCTCTATTTATCTATCTATTCTTTATTATTGTCACTAGCCAAACCTCTTGCACTCGACAGCGCCATCTCCTCTTCCTTCGTTGCACTTTGACCTTTCTTCTTGGTCCTTTTTCCCAAACATGTGACCACGAAATGAGCCAAAGCTTCTGTTTATTTTTTTTCTCTCTCTCTCTCGCTTCTTATTGTCATTTTTTTCTCTCTCGTTTCTTATTGTCATCGCGGGCTGGTTTGTTTACATTCCCAGTGACGTCACCGCCGTTCGTCACCGCCGTTCGCCACCACGCGCTAATCTAATCGTAATAAAACATTTAAAGTTTTACAACGATCTGCGCCAGAGTCATCGGCAACACCACCGGTCATCACATCGCCACCACCACCATTAGTATCACGTCTTTCACCACCAAAGTCATCACATCCTCATCACTTCTAATATCTTCACCACCAAACTCATCACATCCTCATCACTATTAATATCTTCACCACCAAAGTCACCACATCCTCATCACTATTAATATTTTCACCACCAAAGTCATCACATCGCCGCCGCCACCACCACCACTATCGCATCTTCACCACCGCCGTCATCACACCGCCACCACCGCCGCCTTCCGCGCATCCACCGCCATCACCACCACACCTGAGCACACTTGCTCTCAGCGGAGCACAAACATCACTTCACTGAACTCAGCAAAGACTGCTTTTTACTCAGCACTTCCTTTCGCATTAATAGCAAGATCTCACTCTCCTCTCTCCCTCTCCCCTCCCTCTCCTCTCCTCTCCTCTCCCCCTTCCTCCGAAATATACACATCTGCACAGGAAATATGTAATAACGATGATTACGTATGCTGTGCTCAAAAAGACCCGATTGGTGTTACACCTGAACAAATCTATTAAATTCTGGGTCACGTCTGGCTTCATTTACATATAAAAACAATAATTCTATAATGAGAAAATTGAATGGTCACGTTACTAGTCTGTGAGGGATGTGTGGTTGTATGGGTCGTCTTGAACTTGCAAAAAAACCTGTTATTTTGTTACAATTACTAGACATTTAATATAGGTCAACATTTCTTTACTTAAGGGACACCAGTTATGATGACTTAATTCCACCTCATTAGGCAGGCAGCCAGCTGGAGGGAGGGGGGGAGGGAGGGAGGGAGGAGGGAGAGAAGAGGAGAGACGAATGAGGGAGGGAGGGAGGGAGAGACGGAGGGAGGGAGGAGGGAGGGAGGGAAGAGAGGGAGAGACGAGGGAGGAGGGAGGGAGAGAGGGAGAGACGAACGAGGAGGGAATGAGGAAGGCAAACGAGGACCAATAAGTCACACCTAACACTTGTCGGCGCGTCCATGTGGAGTGCCAGGCGGGGATCAGCACTCGCTCTTCCTTCTATCACTCGTTCAAACACTGCGGGTTGCGGGGACTGCCGCCGGTGCACTGAGCCGGGGTATTCGGGCACTGAAGCGGGTATTCGGGGCGGGTTTCGCACTGAGCCGGGTATTCGGCACTGAGCCGGGTATTCGGGGCACTGAGCCGGGTATTCGGGCATGAGCCGGGTATTCGGGCACTGAGCCGGGTATTCGGGCCTGAGCGGGGTATTCGGGCACTGAGCGGGTATTCGGGGCACTGAGCCGGGTATTCGGGCACTGAGCCTGGGGTATTCGGGCCACTGAAGCCGGGTATTCGGGCACGGGTACGGGTAACGGGTATTGTCGGGTATCAGCCGCGGGCGCAACACGGCGATAGACTGTCGCCCCGGGGCACGCCGCGCGTTTTATGCCGGGTGCCAAGGGGGCTGCCGGGCACTCGGAACCCACTTGCGTCACAGTGCCACTCCAGAGCATGGCGGGGGAGGGAGGGAGGAGGGAGGGAGGGAGGAGGAGGAGAGAGGGAGAGGAGAGGGAGAGGGAGAGGGAGAGAGGGAGAGAGAGAGAGAGAAGAGAGAGGAGAAGTGAGAGATGAGAGGGAGAGAAGAAGAGAGAGAGAGAAAGAGAAAGAAAGAAAAGAAAGAAAAAGAAAGGAGAAAGAAGAAAGAAAAGAAAGAAAGAAAGAAAAATAGAAAGAAAGAAGAGAAAAGAGAAGAAAAAGAAAGAAAGAGAAAGAAGGAGAAGAGAAAAAAAAAAAAAGAGAAAGAAAGAACGAGAAGAGAACGGATATAAAAAAGGAAGAGAAAAAAAAGTAGTAAGGCACAGAGCGAGAGAAAGCGAGCACCTGTGTCTTCCCCGAGATAGGAGAGGGGGGAGAGGGGAGGGGGAGGGGAGGGGAAGGCAGCCTGAAAGCGTAGTTTCCGGTCAGCAATGAGTCATACGGTTGTAAAGTTTTATGTTGGTGTCACTCGATCTAAAATTGATGGCTGCGATTAGGGTGAAGTGCACACACACACTTATATATGATTAGACGTAGTTTATGAATTAGGGTGAACCTGTGATTCATCTTCTGAAGTGCCGAATAAACTTAATTGGGAGAAACACATGTATTAAAGAGTGTAACGCATCGTTAATATTAACCTATACCATTAATCATAACGTGAGACTATTTTTCAAATTCAAAACAAGACATCAATCCTACTCAAAAACCAAAAATTAATCCATAAATTATTTAGATTCCACAACCCACGAATCCAATCCTCAAAACTAATCAAAACCCACTGATAAATAATTAAACAAACGAATTCTATAAAATATAGACCTACCCAGTCACGCCTTCCCTCTCAACAGCACCTTCCAAAAACCGTTTCAAAACCACGCCCACAAGACGGAACGACCTACATAAAACTACTTCTTAATTGGACAGTTAGCCTCTTGAGTAATTTATGACCCAACCGAACCGCAGATAAGGTGACCTGATAACGCATATGTTCGAAACAAATTGGACATTTGCAGCACACGCGCGCATGATGTTAATGTAATGAGGTGACTGGATGTGGATGTAGGCCTAGAGGCTAAGTGAGAGAAAGATGTGTTTTTGGCAGGAAAGAAAGGGGAGGGGAGGAGGAGAAGGGGAGAGATGGAGGAGGAGAGGTGGAGAGAGGAGAGAGAGAGAGGAGGGAGAGATGGAGGAGGAGGAGGAGAGAGAGGAGGGGAGGAGGAGGAGGAGGAGGGAGGAGGAGGAGGAGGAGGGAGAGAGAGAGGAGGAGAGGAGGAGGAGGAGAGATGGAGGAGGAGGGAGAGATGGAGGAGGAGGAGGAGGAGGAAGAGGAGAAGACGAAGACGAAGAAGAAGGGCGAGGAGGACTAAGAAGAGAAAGAAGATAAAAGACGGGGAACGGAGACGGAGGAGACGGAATGGAAGAACAGAGGGCCAAAAGGGGAAGGGGGAGAATAAGATACAGAGGAAGCGAGGTAAAGGGAAGGCGGAGGAAATGACGTCATACTTGACCCGGAAATGCAATGTTGCAGGTTATTTTAAGGGAGGAATCTTTTTATAACAGAAGAGAGTAAGGGAAATTGACCAACAGCATTAGCGCAACATGAGAGCGAAAGAAAACGGAGAACAATAAAAAAGCGCGAAACATGAAAGAAAACGGAAAACAAAGAGAAAGCAGAAAACATGAAAGAAAACGGAAAACAAAGAAATTCAAACAACTGCAGAACAAAATAAATAAAATTGAAAACAAAACAAATACAAAAATGGGGGAAAAAAACAACACCACTAATAATAAAAACTACAAACACGTAACAAGTTATTACAATCCTTTCCAGGGGTGACTCAACTATTTCCAAAATGCACATCCGATGTAGCATTCATACATCACACACACCTTCACATCCCAGATAAGGACACCCTGATGAAGCATCTCTCTTATCAGTTCTTTTAAAATGCTATAACAAGAAACTCTCCTCAAAAAATGATTAATCTGATAAGGAAGTGAAGTTATTGCGCCGGTACTAACAAAATCCGCCATTGTTCGAGATAAGGAGAGAGATAACGAGGCAGGAAGTGCGGTATCGTTTCACCTGAAGTTTTATATTCATGGAAATTATGGCAAAAGATTTATGGATGCTCTAACCTGAACAAAAGTATGAAATTATAAAAGTGAAAAGGGGAGAGAGTGAGAGATTAGGGAAGAGAGAATGGGAGGGAAAGAGGGAAAGGAGAGGGAGGGAGGGGGAGGGAGGGGAGAGAGGGGAGAGGAGAGGGAGAGGAGGAGGGAGAGGAGAGGATAGAGAGAGAGAGAGAGAGAGAGAGAGAGAGAGAGAGAGAGAGAGAGAGAGAGAGAGGAGAGAGAGAGAGAGAGAGAGAGAGGAGAGAGAGAGAGAGAGAGAGGAGGGGAGGAGGAGAGAAAAGAAGAGAGGAGGAGGAGGAGGAAAAGAGAGAAGGGAGGGAAGGAGGGAGGGAGGAGAAAAAGCAGAGAGGAAAGGAAAAAAAAGATAGAAAGAGAAAGAGACGCGAAAAAAGTGAAAAAACGAGAAAAAAGTCCAGGAAAAAAGATATAGCTAGCGATAGAGAGAGAGAGAGATAGAGAGAGAGAGAGAGAGAGAAGAGAGAGAGAGAGAGAGAGAGAGAGAGAGAGAGAGAGAGAGAGAGAGAGAGAGAGAGAGAGAGAGAAACGCGAGAGGAGAGAAAAGAGAGAAAAAAACGCGAGAGAGAGAGAGCGAGAAAGACCGCGAATCGGACGGGTGTCACTCCATACCCCCCCCCCCGCCTCCCCCCCCCCTCCCTAACCTCTTCCCCGCCGCCCATTGTCACCCCATAAAACGAATCCGACCGTTAACATTAACACCATTTTCCAGCAAAATCCACAAACAAAAGCAGATTTATCCAGTCAGGTTCCCGTTAATCCCCGCCAATAAAACGCATGTTATCTGAGGACATAAAAATATAATCATATGAAATATCGTCTTAGTAGATCATATAAAAAAAAAAAAATAACTTGTAAAGATAAAACTATAAAACCAAATACATATATTCTAGTAAATTTTCTACTTGATATTCGTTATCACATAAAAATACAATCATGTCAATTCTATGATAAGCTTCATTCTTTATTCACATGTCAAGCAAATGCTATCTTCAAATGAAAAAAAATACTTTTTTTACCTGTTATCGCTTCTTTCAAAAAAAAAAAAAAAAAAAAAAAAAAAAAAAAAAAAAAAAAAAAAATCAATCACGGTATCTTTTAATATCTATAAAAAGAGGAGGATTAGAAAAACAAACAATAATCCAATAAATTTTCCACACTTGCTATCACCTAACTACACCGACAAAAAGATAAGAAAAAGGAAAACAAAAACACCAACCAGAGAAAAAAAAAAGAAAAAAAAAAGCCACGAACCAAAACAAAGAAAAAAAAGAAGCAATTTTACACCAACAAAACGAAAACAAAAAGATTCTTTTTATCAACCTCGAAAAAAGGGCAATTTTACATCAACCAAAAAAAAGAAAGAGGAAAGCCAATGTTATCCCAACAAAGCGAAAAAGAAAAAAAAGAAAAAAAAAAAGAAGGAGTTGCAGAGACGACCGGCGGAGACTCGACGGGAAATGCCAAAGGGGAAGGGGGAGGGAGGAGGCGGAGGGGGCACGGGGGGAGGGAGAGGGAGGGGAGGGGGAGGGAGGAGTGGAGGAGAGGAGGTGGAGGCGGGGGGAGGGAAGGGACGAGGGCAGGGAAGGGGAGGGGGGAGGAGGAGGGGCGGAGGGGAAGGGGAGGGGGATATGCACAGAGGAGGGGTCTTTCTTGCGAAGGGAGGGGAAGAAGAGGAAGAGGGGGTAGGGATGGAGGAGGAGGGGAGAGGGGGAAGAGAGGAAGGGGTAGGGTGAAAGGGGGAGGAGAGAGGGAGAGGAGGAGGGGTTGGAGTCTAGTGAGAAGGAAGGAGGAGGATGTGAGAAGAAAGAGGGGGATAGAGGGAAATAAGGAAAGGGAGAAGGAGGGGGTGAAGAACGGAAGGGAGGAAAGGACGGAGAAAATAAAAAGAAGAGAGGGAATTAGAGGAAAGTGGAGGGTAGGGATAATAATACGGGGACAGGATAAGGAAGGAGAGGAAGGGAGAGGAGAGGGAGAGGGAGGTAGGCAGGGGAAGGAGGATGGGTAAGGAGGGAAGGTGAGGGAGGGGGAATGGGGGATGCTGTCAAGGTGCCCTCTCGGATGCCCCACCATGCCCGTGCCTCGGCCTCTTCGCCTGTCTATCTCGTGATAACTCTCTCCCTCTCCCTCCTTTCTCCTTCCTTTCTCAGTCTCGCTCTCTTTCTCACTCTGTTTGCCTGTATTTCATCTGTCTGCCTCCTAGCTCCTATCTCTCTCCCTCCTCCTCCCTCCCTCCCTCCACCTCCTATCTACCTCCCTCCCTCCCTACCTACCTACCTATCTACCCTTCCTGCTTGTCTGCCTGCCTGCCTGTCCAAATTTTCCTCCCCCACCTTCCTTCTCCTCCTCTTCCTCCTCCTCCTCCTCCTCCCCTCCTCCTCCTCTCCTCCCCTCCTCCTCCTCCTCTTCCTCTTCCTCTTCCTCTTCCTCTTCCTCCTTCCCTTCCCCTCCTCCTCTCTCCTCCTCCCCTTCCTCCTCCTCTTCCTTCCTTCTTCCTCCTCTCCTCCTCCCGTGCAACAACTCGTCTCTCCCACACAACACGGCCGTCTTCATTGCCGACTTTCCTTGTTATCCATGTTGTTGTTGCTCGTGTGATTGGGCCTTGCATATCCCTCTTGTTGGTGTTTGGTTGTTGTTGGCGAGTTGTTGGAGTTAGTTTTGTTGTTGTTGTTGTTGTTGTTGCTGTTGTTATTGTCTGTGCATGTCTGTCCATAGTGTTATTGTTTTATCATATTGGCATTCAAACACTCCTGTATAAAACAAAATCTCCATCACCAAGAACCCCCACAAACAAAACAAACAAGCAAAACCCCCGCCCCCCCCC